CATTGCCAACAAACGCATTATTAATTACTTATGATGTGACGAGCATGTACACAAACATGGAATTCAACGAACTTCTCTCATCAGTAAATGAGGCTTACACACAGGCCAATAAAACGCAATTAGACATTCCATATCCGGACCCTGAGGATCTAAACTTCTTACTGAAATGCGTCTTGGAAAACAATTACTTTGAATTCGATGGAAAATATTACAAACAAGTAATAGGAGCAAGTATGGGGGCAGTCCCCAGTCCAGAGATCTGTGACATCAGAATGTATCAAATCACAAAGCATATAATGGCACAATTTCGTCATGCCAGCAAAATTGTCTTCCACGGCAGATACCGTGATGACGGTTTCATAATATTCAATGGAACGCAACCAGAGATAGAAGAATTCTTTAATATCGGCAATCACTGTCACAAGCATCTAAGATTTACATTTGAAATTTCTCCATCTGCTGTCAACTTCCTTGATACTACAGTTTATAAAGGACAGAAATTTCAAAATTTTAACAAACTTGATATCAAGTCGTTTATCAAACCAACAAATAACTTTCAGTATCTACACAGACAGAGCGCTCATAGCCCAGCTGTGTTTAAAGGATTCATTAAAGGAGAATGCATTAGACATGCAAGAAATACCACTGACCCTGAAATATTACATGCAACACTTAATGACTTCAAGACGCACTTATCAAAGCGAGGTTACTCTACTTTGGAAATTGATCCTATTATCAAGGAAACGGTCAACACAAACCGATCAAAACTCATCATCAAAAAGACTAAAGAACATTCATTACGTAACCCTACAGTACTGGTTACTAAATTTAACCCTTGCGTTAAAGGACTGAAAAAACGAATTCTGAAATATTGGAACACCATTCTTAGAAATCCAGAATGCAAAACTTTATTTCATTCTCAACCAATCATAGCTTACAGCAAACACAAGAATATAGGTGACGAAATAATCCGGTCTCACCTAAAACAAACACCATGATTTATGTCCGTGACCCCTGATGAGGCTTCTTAATAGCCGAAACACTCTACAACTACTTGCATAATTCAAATCAGATATTAATCTGCTCTATGCAAAAATCATATCTACTAGAAGTGTGGTTTGGAGTGTCGGGTCCTAATAAATCTCTTACAAGTTTGGTTGATTGATGTCGCTAATTTTCACACTGTGGTTGGAGTGTCGGGTCCTAATAAATCTCTTACAAGTTTGGTTGATTGATGTCGCTAATTTTCACACTTTGACTAGGGACAATGTCCCACCGGCATCATCCCGTGCATCGCCCTCCCTTGGACAGCGATCGACTTGTGTGGTTTATTTGGTCATCCAACAATCCGGCCACACTCTTTGCTTCTATTGTCTTCTAAGACATTTTATTACCAGCACTTCCTTTACCAAATCAGCACATGTTTGTAAAGGATTGAGCTGTGACTTTTTAAAGATCGTCTTTTACGCTTCTCTTATAATCAAATACTTCGACTTGCGCAAGTATACACATACAATAGTGCCCTTCCAAACGTTTTACCAGGCAAGAAAACCACGAGAATATCAGACTGTGAATACAAGGATATATTGAAGGACCAGATCAACATAAACCAGGAAGAATTCATTTAGGATTTGGACAGTTATGTGAAATATTAATCCTCTTATTATCATCATATGATATTAAGACGGATCTTTATTTTAGCCTCATTTTATGACACTATGTATATCAGACGACTTAAGATCCACAGGATTTAATTACCATAAAATTGGTGTGCATTAGCCATCCATTGGACCAGCTCTTAAACAAACACCGCCCCTTGCACGTGACCTTAACGAATCACCGGAATCTGACTATCGGCTTCTTAAGCCACATACTCTTCTTATCCTCTAATCTATCAACACTTATTGATAATTAGACGGATTCATTATTTCATCAAAATACTCACTGTTGATCTATAGCGCCTCGCTATATACAATATATTTACCACCTACTGCTCCTCTATTTGAATGGCTCGACGAATAAATAGACGGAGTAAACAATGCAAAAATGCTAAACGCACTCGTAATTATCTACGGGGAGTTAAAGCTCACTGCAAGGAAACTACGGCCACAGGGGGAAAGTTTGTTCTAAATCTTTCAAGATACAACTTATCCCAACATGAACTCTCAGTTCTAAGCAAAGGCTTAAAATTTATTCCAACGCCTAAAAGCGACAATGCTAAAAGCCTGCTGCTCAAAGATTTTGAAGAATTTGCCAGGAAAACTCAGATGCAAATTCCACTTTGATACCGGAGACGACAATGCCATTCACCCCTTTAACACAAAATCTGGCTACAAACCGCCATTTACATGCAGCGAACTCGAGGAATATATAGATAAAACAAAATTGGAACTTTCCTCTTTGGAAATTGCAAAAAAGAGATCAAACATCTCAAATGCTGAAAGAGAAGCTATTTTATCTCTTAAAAATAACAACGACATTGTTATTAAAAAAGCAGATAAAAGCAACACAATTGTCATCATGAACAAAGACCAGTATGTCTTAGAAGCACAAAGCCAACTGCAATCTAAACACTATATGCAAGTATCTGAACCCAACATGCTCAAACTGCATGAAAACATTCAAAATAAACTTGCCGCAATGCATTCAAATGGGTCACTGGACAAAGAAACTTACAAATTTCTTAATGACAAAAAACCTTCACTCAAATGTGGGCATTTATACCTTTTACCGAAAACCCACAAAATACCAGCAAACATTTACAATGCTCTAATAAACGGTCAGTGCAGCATTAGGAAATTACCACCTGGTAGACCAATTATCTCGCAATGCGATACGCCAACGAGGAAAATAGGACAATATTGCGATTACTTTCTTGTACCCATTGTACAAAAACAATCAACTTATATCAAAGACACTACGGACTTTATCACCAAAATCGAAGGCCTCACATTGCCAACAAACGCATTATTAATTACTTATGATGTGACGAGCATGTACACAAACATGGAATTCAACGAACTTCTCTCATCAGTAAATGAGGCTTACACACAGGCCAATAAAACGCAATTAGACATTCCATATCCGGACCCTGAGGATCTAAACTTCTTACTGAAATGCGTCTTGGAAAACAATTACTTTGAATTCGACGGAAAATATTACAAACAAATAATAGGAGCAAGTATGGGGGCAGTCCCCAGTCCAGAGATCTGTGACATCAGAATGTATCAAATCACAAAGCATATAATGGCACAATTTCGTCATGCCAGCAAAATTGTCTTCCACGGCAGATACCGTGATGACGGTTTCATAATATTCAATGGAACGCAACCAGAGATAGAAGAATTCTTTAATATCGGCAATCACTGTCACAAGCATCTAAGATTTACATTTGAAATTTCTCCATCTGCTGTCAACTTCCTTGATACTACAGTTTATAAAGGACAGAAATTTCAAAATTTTAACAAATTTGATATCAAGTCGTTTATCAAACCAACAAATAACTTTCAGTATCTACACAGACAGAGCGCTCATAGCCCAGCTGTGTTTAAAGGATTCATTAAAGGAGAATGCATTAGACATGCAAGAAACACCACTGACCCTGAAATATTACATGCAACACTTAATGACTTCAAGACGCACTTATCAAAGCGAGGTTACTCTACTTCGGAAATTGATCCTATTATCAAGGAAACGGTCAACACAAACCGATCAAAACTCATCATCAAAAAGACTAAAGAACAGTCATTACGTAACCCTACAGTACTGGTTACTAAATTTAACCCTTGCGTTAAAGGACTGAAAAAACGAATTCTAAAATATTGGAACACCATTCTTAGAAATCCAGAATGCAAAACTTTATTTCATTCTCAACCAATCATAGCTTACAGCAAACACAAGAATATAGGTGACAAGATAACCTGGTCTCACCTAATACTAACACCATGATTTATGTCCGTGACCCCTGATGAGGCTTCTTAATAACCAAAACACTCTACAAATACTTGCATAATTCAAATCAGATATTAATCTGCTCTATTACCACACAAAAAACATATCTACTTAAAGTGTGGAAAACAGACTGAAATCTCTATATCTAAACATAATTACTAATAGGTTTTAAATAGCTTCAGAGTGTTCTTTTAAATTATATATGTTTTGTACTTCAAATGAAAGTTTGATGATGACTGGGCTGTCCAATGGTTCTTGAGAGAAAAGTTTTTTTTAGCAACCACTACTTTTGTTTTTATCTCACCTTATTTAAAGGTAACAAATCTATGTGTAGTACAAATGAGAGCACTTGGGCCAAGGATACACTGTGCAAATTTTGATAAATATTGGCCAATGGGTTCTTGAGAAGGGCTCATATTCCAAAAAGTTGATGCACACCACACAAATGGCTAAAGCACTGGCTCTTTGAGTCTTAGGCCATCCTTAAAAAATTGTTTGTTTGGAATTGCCGCCTGAAGGGTTTCAGATACAGGAGGGAGGGAGGGAAATTAATATTTTTTTTTTGAATTGAAGATAAATTTTAATTTTTTGATAAAAATCTCAGTAAAGAGTAAATACATTTTCTGACTTAAAAAAAAAAAGTATCTACCATCAACAAAAATCCTAATTTTACATATATCTGACACTATATTTCAGTGTTTTGTATGGTGTATGTGATATATGTAATGGGCAAAAAAAAAATGATTAGATAAAAAAAATCTTCCTACTTTTGGTCAATAAAATTTGTTCAGGAGGGGGCATTTCAATGAGGTGGGAGGCAATTCCAAACAAACTATAATTTTATTTTGGCCTTAGACTCAGAAGAGCAAAAAAATGTCTGGAAAAGCTAACTTTGATGGAATAACAATGACAGATTGACAGAATGAGGCATGGAAAAAAGGTGACAATATTGCCTTGCATTTTTTATGTTGGAGGCATAAAAAATGATGACAATTTCCCAAAGTACTTTTGATTTTTTCAGTGGGAAAATTTGTATACACTACACTTACCCACAATGACTGCTGAGTTAGGGTTGATGGCAGCTGACCGGGTGTGCGGTGTAGACTTTGGGTCACATGATCTCTGACGGCCAGATCCCAGCACAGAGGTAGAACCACTACAGTATAAAGTTAATACTTCATGTTTATGAACATTAACTTTAAAAAACATTTAAATGTTTTGCAAAGATTTACAACTTT